AGGGGGACCGTAGAGTGTGTTCCAACTACAGGGGAATCACGCTCTTAAGCCTCCCTGGTAAGGTCTACTCGGGGGTTCTGGAGAGGAGGGTCCGTCGGATAGTCGAACCTCGGATTCAGGAGGAGCAGTGTGGTTTTCATCCTGGCCGTGGAACACTGGACAAGCTCTACACTCTCAGCAGGGTCCTGGAGGGTGAGTTGGAGTTTGCCCAACCAGTCTACATGTGCTTTGTCGACTTGGAGAAGGCGTTCGACCACGTCCCTTGGGGAACCTTGTGGGGGGTACTCTAGGAGTATGGGGTACCGGGCCCTTTGACACGGGCTGTTAGGTCCCTGTATGACTGGTGTCAGAGCCTGGTCCACATCGCCGGCAGTAAGTCGTCTTTTTCCCGGTGAGAGTTGGACTCTGCCAAGGTTGCCCTTTGTCATCGATTCGGTTCATAACTTTTATGGACAGAATTTCTAGGCGCAGCCAAGGTGTTGAGAGGATCCGTTTTGGTGGCCTTAGGATTGTGTCTCTGCTTTTTGCAGATGATGAGGTCTTATTGGCTTCATCAGATCAAGATCTACAACTTTCGCTGGAGTGGTTCGCAGCCGAATGCGACGCGGCCAGGATGAAGATCAGTTCCTCCAAATCCGAGGCCATGGTCTTGAGCCAGAAAAGGGTAGAGTGCCCTCTCCGGGTCAGGGAGGAGGTCCTACCCCAAGTGGAGGAGTTTAAGTATCTTGGGGTCTTGTTCACGAATGAGGAAAAAATGGAGCGTGAGATCGATAGGCGGATAGGTGCAGCGTCAGCAGTGAAGCAGGCGCTGTACAGGTCTGTTGTGGTGAAGAGAGAGCTGAGTCAAAAGGCGAAGCTCTCAATTTACCGATCGATCTATGTTCCTACCCTCATCTATGGTCACGAGCTTTGGGTTGTGATTGAAAGAATGAGATCTCGGATACAAGCGGCCGAAATGAGTTTTCTCCGCAGGGTGTCTGGGTTCTCCCTTAGAGATAGGGTGAGAAGCTTGATCATCCGGGAGAGACTCAGAGGAGAGCTGCTGCTTCTCCACGTCGAGAGGAGCCAGTTGAGGTGGCTTGGGCATCTGTTTAGGATGGCTTCTGGACACCTCCCTGGTGAGGTGTTCCGGACACGTCCCACCGGAAGGAGGCCAAGAGGACGACCCAGGACACGCTGGAGGGACTGTTTCTCGGCTGGCCTGGGAACGCCTCGGGATTCCACCGGAAGAGCTGGCCCAAGTGGCTGGGGAGAGGGAAGTCTGGGCCTCCCTACTTAGGCTGCTACCCCTGCGACCGGACCCCGGATAAGCGGAAGAAAATGAATGGATGGACCCCCTGGTCAACAACTGCCCGCACTAAACTCGCTAAGCTGGTGAGCGAGCAACACAAAGGTGTCTCCATCTCCTCCACCTGTGCGCGTTTCCTGCCGAGGCAGGAGACTCAGTAGCTCGCTGGCTGTACAGCTTCTGCTCTGTGTTTAGAGTTGGAGGTAACCAGGAAAACCTGGAGTGGAGTTTTAGTGGCTTGAGTATTTTCCTATTAATCAAGTGGAATGGATTTGTTAACAAAGAAAGAGAAACTGCACTGCCTGAACTAATGTTTCATAGTAAAAGTGTGTATGTGTGTGTGTGTGGGGGGGAGGGGGGGAGGTCGTCCAAATGAACGTTTTTTTTAATGTGGGGGGACACGTTCCCATCACATATAATGGTTTCGACATCTATGTTTCAAATTCTCAAAGATAGTTAGTTGTGTGTGATGGTAGGGTTGAACTACCTAAATCTCAAGATGATTGGTTAATCCCTGTCCCATGGGGTAACAAAACATTACAGTGTATGAGCTTGAGGCTGAAATCTCTTTGTTGTTTCTGAAAGCATTTTTTTTTCTTTGAAAAGAGAGGAACTATGTTCTCGTATATCACATAATGATAGAGGAATATTTTAACATATTTAATACAGATGTTAGAGCTGATTATTTTAGACAAAAAAATAGACAACTTCCAAAAAATAGCAGCTAGAAATAACTTCCATCTAGTATTGTCATATTTTTCATTTGAAGGGGATTGACCAGAAAGCCTACTCTTCTCTTTTCAGGAGGTCTAATTTTTCATGTCTTGCTATGAGCTCGCTTCCATCCTTTTATATTAACAATAAAAAATTATAAATACACATGATGTGTTGAAAAACGGTGTTTGGTGGCTGATTGATATTTGTCAGGCTAAAGTAAACATGACTAAAGTTGTAAAAACACTTATTCTCTCGGCGATTAAAAAAACAACAACACAAAACTATGTAAGAACCCCCCAACCCCACCCCCCAAAAGACCAGGTTTATTTGTTATTTATTTGATGTTTTATATTTATTTATTTATTTATTTATTTATTTATTTATTTATTTATTACCAGGAGCTGTCAATTAAAATGAAAGTTACAACCTTGTCATGGTTATGTGGCGTTGTTTTACCGAGAAATCTATCAGCAGCGCTGTGAAGATGGTCGGATCCGCCTCTCTGGCAGCAGTGCGCGCTCCCGATACAGGGGGAACAGATTTTTACAGGAGAACAGGATTTCACACAAGACCGGTAAACCAGAAAGCGCTCAACAAGATTTTAAGTAGTCATTTCTGTTTTGGTATTAGGTTCAGTCCACATGAGACATCATTTCGGTCTGGATCCAGACCGAGGTCTGCCTATTAGTGATCTCTGATTTAGAGTTACCGATCAGCCTAACATGCATGTTTTTGGTCTGTGGGAGGAAACTGGAGTAACCAGAGAAAACCCACAAATGCACAAAGAGAATATGCAAACGCCACCCAGAAAGATCCATGACTTGGATTCAATCCGGCAACCTTCTTGCTGAGATGAGAGGCAGCAGCTCTATCAACTGAGCTACTGTGCCGCCCCCATTGCATGCATACACATATACAAAAAGTCACTTATTAATAACAATGTAAACTGCTAATTCATACTGAAGATCAGTAAGAGAGCTGAAGGAAAGATCTGAAGAATTATTGTGTTAAAGGTCCATGGAAAACTTGTTCAGGCACTATAAACAAATTGAAGGCTTTGGTCAAATAAATAGTACCAACAATGTAAATATATATATATTAAAAAAAAAAAGCCGTTTGAATGATTAGGGAGGTGTGCAGAAATTGTGCTACTAAGGTTAATACTTAAAACATGTGCTTTGTGTTTTAAACTTAAACTGTCATAAAAAAAATTAATCCATTTTACATTAAGAGACAGCCTCTCTGCCTTTTATTTCATAATTCAACTTCTTAGGAATAACTTAAATTACCTGAAGTCAACTTTTTTTTTTTTTTTTACCTTTGGTGAAGAGGAAGCCAGCTCTCTCCCCATCACTACAGCCACTGGGTTGGGCCCAGCAGGTTGGACTCTTGCTCCGTCTGGGCCAGAGTTGGGTTTAGGAGTTGGTGGACTGGGGCCAGAACCAGTAGTGATACCCGGAGGTGGAGGGGCCCTCCTTTTCTGGCTACTGCCCACATTAGAAGAGGGATTGTCAGCATGAGGTCGTGGTGAACCTGAAGTCTTCGGCTCATAAAATGGATTGGATCTGAAAGTGAAAGATGAGAGAATTGTAGAGTGAACAAAATGAGCAAAAATCTTGTTTCTTCTTATATTTGACTGCTCTGAAAGCTTTGTGAAGCATTTTTCGAACAAGCAAACATTTGTCAACACTGCTAACTATTAAACAATGAATGATCCAATATGTTGCCTCTCTGATTTCAAATATAGCCTTAATAATAAGGAACACCAAAATGGTAAAAAAAAAAAAATCAAAAAAAAAAAAAAACATGAAATAATGAAATCAACTTCCTTGAATCACCACCTTGTCGTGATGGAGGAGTTTGTGCACCTGAATGATCCTAGGAGCTATGCTTTCTGGGGCAATTTTAATTGCTCCTGGTAGGTTCTCCCAAGGCAGATTGGTTCTAGGTGACAGGCCAAACAAAGAGCAATTCAGAAGACTTGTATGGACAAAATAAAACAAGGAACTCGGTGTCCTTTGCCCGAACGTGGGTTACCGGGGACCACCCTGGAGCCAGGCCTGGCGGAGGGGCTCATCAGCGAGTGTCTGGTGACTGAGTCTCTACTCATGGGGCCCGGTCGGGCTCAGCCCAAATGAGCAACATGAATTTGCTTTCCTGTAAGCCCACCACCTGTAGAAGGGGCCATAAAAGTTGGGTGCATGAATCCATGGGCAGTGGCCGAAGGTGGGGACTTTGGCGCTCTGACCGTGGCTTACCAAAGCTGGCTCTTGGGACATGGAACATGACCTCTCTGGTGGGGAAGGAGCCTGAGCTCATGCATGAAGTTGAGAAGTACCAACTAGATATAGTTGGGCTCAACTCGATGCACACCATGGGCTCTGGAACCAATCACCTTATATTACATTCCACTATAGAGTTGCCCATGGTGAGAGGCACCGAGCTGGTGTGGGTCTACTTGTAGCCCCTCGACTTGGTGCCTGTGTGTTTGTGTTTTCCCCGGTAGATGAGAGGGTGGCTTCCCTGTGAATTGGGGTGGGTGGACAGGCTCTGACTGTTGTTTGTGCCAATGCGCCAAACGGCAGTTCAGAGTATCCAGCCTTTTTGGAGTCCTTGGCAGGAGTGCTGGAGGGTGCACCAGCTAGGGACTCCTTCATTCTGCTGAGGGATTTCAATGCCCATATGGGTAACAACAGTGTGACCTGGAGGGGCAAGATTGAGAGGAACGGCCTCTTTGATCTGAACCCAAGCGGTGTTCTGTTGTTGGACTTCTGTGCTAGTCATAATTTGACCATCGCAAACACCATGTTCAAACATATGGGTGTTCATAAAGCCCCTCATCCACAAATCCTACTTGGGCAAGCTTTAACCTGCTCAGACCAGTTCTGTGTTTTTGCCCACAGTGACTTCGTCGTGGAACCTGCCTGTTTTTTAGTACCTACTTCTCTACGGTTCCATTGAGTTCAAGCAGGACCTAAAACATGACGTCAGCGCATAGTCAGTCACTGATTGGTCAGGGTAAGGAGTCACTTGATCTCTCAGAAACGTTTCACATCGATCCACCATTTGCAATTTCTCGGAACCCGGAGCAGCGGATGGACATATTTTAAAGATTTTAAAAACAATAATGACAACAGCATGTTCTAATGTTGAAGTGCTGGCATTTTTTTGTGTGCTTGCTGACCGACGACAAAATTCACAGCGAGCTAGATTGAGCTCTGCTGGTCTCCCTGGTCCTCTCCACCAGAGTCCTGGAGCCAGGCCGGGCAGGGCATCATGTCCCCGGCTCCGAGCTCCGCTGGTCACCGTGGAAGACCCTCTGTGGTTCCGACTCAGGTCTTGGGCTCCGGATCCCGGCTTTGCATGCTCTGTAAATTTCATCTTAGCATGTGCTTGTCAGAAAACACTGTAACCAAATTTAAACAATCTCTTCCATTAATGTTTTCCTCTGTCTTGCAGAGTAATGCATCAGATAACAGTGACTTATATCATCAAGTTGATCATCTTCCAACTTCAATGCAAACTTCACTTGATAAAATTGCTCCGCTGAAAAAGACGGTAATCAGTCAGAAGAAACTGGCTCCGTGGTTCAATTCTGAGTTACGTACTTTAAAGCAGGCATCTAGAAACCAGGAGAGAAAATGGTGCTCTACTAACGTTGAAGAATTTTATTAAACTTGGCTAGATAGTCTGCTAACATATAAGAAAGCTCTCTGTAAAGCTAGAACTTTGTATTACTCATATTTAATAGAGGAGAATAAAAATAACCCTAAGTTTCTGTTAAGTACTATTGCTAGACTAATTAAAAGTCCCATTTCTGTTGAACCATGAAGTGATGACTTCATGAGATTCTTTATAAATAAAATTATTTAAATTAGAGAGAAAATTCAAACCATTTTTCCTTCTACTATCCCTAGTCCCCTGTCAAATAAAACAACTTTAAAAATTTCACTAGAGTCTGATTTGTGTTTGGACTGTTTTTGTCCTGTTGAGCTCTCTGAATTGTCAAAAATAATAACCTCATCCAAACCATCTACATGTCTGCTAGATCCATGGGCGTTGCAACCATTATATGAGAAGGGGACAAGTTCCCCCCACATTAAAAAAAAAAGTTCATTTGGAACCCCCCCCCCCCCCC